CAGCTGGTGTCTTGCAAAGCTTAGCTTGGACCGGGACTCTCCGACTTGATGGGAGCAATTCCAGACCTTGAGAAACTAAGTTGTTAAATAACACTGGAAGGCTCAATGCACAAGAACACATGCTTAGTGGTACAGTGGTACCTCGGGTTACATACGCTTCAGGTTACATACTCCACTAAGCCAGAAATAGTGCTTCAGATTAAGAACTTTGCTCCAGGATAAGAACGGAAATCGTGCTCTGGAGGTGCGGCGGCAGCAGGAGGCCCCATTAGCTAAAGTGGTGCTTTAGGTTAAGAACAGTTTCAGGTTAAGGGCGGACCTCCGGAACGAATTAAGTACTTAACCCGAGGTACCACTGTATTATAAAGATTAACAAGATAAGTGAACCTTGAGAGGAGGAATAGCAGCAGAAGGAAGATAAACAAGAACGCATTATTATTATTATTATTATTATTATTATTATTATTATTTCAGAAGTCAATGACCCAAAGAGGCCAAGCTGGCAGGTATGTAAAAATGACCCTTCCAAAGTAACTTCATGCAAAGTAATCCCAGCTCCCTCTCATAGAAAGACCCCAGCTTGCATAGGTAGAAGGCAGTGTTAGAAATTAACCAGGTGCCAGGCACATTTTGTGACTGGCATGGGTACAACTGCGACCACGTGGACATCTCTGGATGCCAGGTTAGCGACTGACATCTCCATCTGTTTGGCCCCTCCAGCTTTCTTAAGGAGGGAAGCAGAAGAGCTAATTCATTGCATTTATATCCCACCTTTTTCTCTAAGGAGTACACCCCTCTTCTCAATTAATCCCTAGGACGACACTGTGAGGTAGGTTAAGAGGCTATGACTGGCCCAAGGTCACCCAGTGAGCTTCATGACTGAGTGGAGATTTGAACCCTGATCTCCCAGGTCCTGATCCAACACACTCATCCCACCACACTACACTGGCTTCCTAGAGTTCTTCTGTTATGGGGCACCTATATAAATTAAGTAGGTAAATAAATATGAGGAAAGCAAAATGTCGCTTAGAAAAGGATCTGAAATATTTTCCTTGAAGCTTGAATTAGTATTATTCTGGACTGTTTGATTTGATGTTTTAAGGCGTTGAAAACAGCTTTGATATTTTTTCTTTAAAATATAAAGCTGTATCCAAATGAAATGAACGACAACAATAATTTTGGTAATGATAATAATAATAATAATAATAATAATAATAATAATAATAATTAATATTTATACCCCGCCCATCTGGCTGGGTTTCCCCAGCCACTCTGGGTGGCTTCCAGCAAAATATTAAAATGCAATAATTCATCAAATAGTTGTTTATTTCTTTGACATCTGGTGGGAGGAAATTCCACAGGGTGGGCGCCACTCCCAAGAAGGCACTCTGCTTGGTTCCCTGTAACTTCGCTTCTCACAGTGAGGAAACTGCCAGAAGGCCCTCAGAGCTGGAGGTGCCTAGACATTCCCTAACCTAGGTTTAAGCAGCCATTTGGCAATTATATATCTGGTTTCTTATATATCTGGTTTCTAACACTGGCAGAAGGGTCTTGGCAAGAAAGCACCATTGAGCAAGGTCTTCACTTTCATAGACATGCAAATGAACAAAGCAAGCAATTCAAGCAAGCAATTCTCCATCAGAGGCTTATTGGGGAAGGAACTGAACACATCACTCCTCCCTGTGATTGCAGCTTCCTTTATGGGTTGGGGCATGGAAGACCCAGGATGGAAAACATCTGTTGACACACGCAAAGCCAGACATGCCCAGGCCAGCAGGTAAGCAATGGTTAGGGACCAAGAGGCCAGATCTGCGAATGGCTAAAAAGGGGCATTTTTGGATGAGGCAATTTGGGATTCTGAGTGCCATTCAAGCTGTGAACAAGAGAGAGAGAGAGTGCCCCCACCCACCCACCCACACAGTTAAGGGCTTGAGGATGGAAACACTGAGTGTGTGTCTAGGCTGAGATGTTGAGAACTAGGCTACCGTGCTCTCTCCCTCCTGTTCGGAGGCACCTGTGCTTTAATCGCTCAGCTCATCCCCTCATCCCAAGGCAGCCTGGAAACAATTACCCAGGAACAATAACTACATGCTAGCGTAATTAAATACAAGAGCCGACGCTTTGCAAGGGAAGGAGGCAAGGGACCAGACAGCGCTTCCCCAACGCACAGGCCTACAGCCGCAGCCCAGAGGAAGAAGCCAATGCTGGCTGAGCATCTCTGTCAAGCATTACACAACTACAGCAGTGCAGAAACCCAGGAGACAAGTCTCTGACCCCCATTTTATGTTATGGAATCAAAATGGCTCTGCTAGAGAAGACTATGCAATGGAGTTGGGCATGGTTCTTCTGAATGCTAGGATCATGCAGTTCCCCTCACTATTCATCTTCCCAGCAGACAGCAAACCCACCTCTCACAGACAACACTTCTCATCCGTCCCTTAGATTCCAAACAAGGAACCTCCAATCTTCCACATGCATTCTGCAACCTGCAAGCATTTCCACCTTAATTTCCAGGAGCAACGCTGCAGAATTCAACCTGGCATCAGACTTGAATCCTGTCTAGATTGGTGCAGGACAGCAGTGAGTGCATAGATTAGGTTGCAAGCATTAAGGCAAACCGGTGTGATTATGTGGGGACATCTGTGGGGAAGACCCAAAAAGGCTACTGGCTCTGCCATATGGTTACCATTAAGAATATAAGATGCCAGGAGCACGGAGATGTTGGGGACTGAACCTGGCACTTAAGCATGTGATTTGCCACTGATGTCCTTGCCCTGTGACGGTTTCCACTGAGAACTTGGTTGGAAGGAAACAGCAGAGAAAAGGGTTCTCTTCCGCTACAATAGCAGGGAAGAGTAAGAGGCTTTTGCTTCTCAAACCTCACCCTGTTGAAGAAGAGCTAGATGTGAGACAACAGCGGTAGATCTTTTGATTCTGTGAATGTATAAAGCACCCTTAAAATAAATAATTAATAATAATAATAATAATAATAATAATAATAATAATAATTTATTATTTATACCCCACCCATCTGGCCGGGTTTCCCCAGCACGTAGTTTGGGGAAGGGAGTTCAATGCAGCCATTGACCTCTCCAATGTCCATTTCTTGTAGGAGACAAAAGCAGTACTGACTCTGCAGCGCCAACTCCCCTCCCAAAACGGAGTAAACTGTCCAAGTCTCCACTTCCCTCTGAACTCCCTGCATGCTGCAACCCACTTGCTTCTTTGACTTCCTTTGTGCCAATCAGAGTCTTGACCCCTACAGAGTGAAGAAGCTGTTTTCCAGTCTTTGTCACAGGCTGCCACTCACTTTTGTGGCGCAAGGGTGACAAGCAAGCAAACAGAGCTCCCTGAGTCCCAGGCTAGCAGTCACTACTCTGGCCAATGCACATGCTAAAGAGGATTTGTCACAGACAGTGTCTTCACTGCCAATCAAATGCTGCCTCTACATCCCAGCCCAGCCAGGCTCAGATCTCTAAGCAACTCCGCACACCGAGATGGACTGACAGCTCAGTAATTGGGAAGAGAGGAGACAGCAGCTGAAGCCCCCCATGTTTAACTCTCTGTATTTGCAAAAGGAAATTGGGAATGAATTTCCTGCGGCTGGAACATCAAGAACCCCTGAGATCAGACGTGCCTCTCTCTATCCGGGGGGATAAGTATAATAGGGAAGGCTGCCACTAGCTTCCCTCCCCAGCCATTGGTGAAGCTCAGTTGCATGAAAGAGAGTCAAGGTAACAGCAAAACTGAGCTTTTGACCTATGCTTAAAGCACACAAGGAAAGGCAGCATGCGCCCCAAATGTGTTCAATATCCCTGCTGTCTCAGGGGCAAGATGAGGGGAGGAGAAAACCCAACGCACTTAATATCTACCTCCACCTCTCTACAAATGTTCAAGGTCACTTACAAGCCGAAACAAATCTATTTAAAATATTTTGGTAAGGACCTTCATAAAAAGATATCAAGGTGGTGTACAGCCAGAATAAGAAAATAGAATAAGAAAATGAAAGGAAACCAAATTGAGCATAATACATTTTAAAATGCCATTAAAAACTCTAGTGGTGAAGTAATTAGCCTTCAAATAAAAGCCAGGGAAAGCAGAAAAGTCTGTATAGCCTTCAGAATGGACAAGATAGGGGAGGCCCTATCTCTGAAGGTAGCTTCATGTGGGTGCAGGTAGTCCTTCAGAGAACCTGGGCTACATTGAAAGGTCAAAACAGGCATCTTGAATTGGACCCAGAAACACAATGGCAAAAAGTACAATGGGATATGATCTAACCATCTATCCCCAACAAAGACTCAAAAATATCATTTTGTACCAGCTGAAGTTTCTGAGTCATCTTCAAATGCAGCCCCAAGGAGCACACATTTCATCTAGTCTTGATGTAATTGCTACATACAAAACTGACTAGGTCTGCTCTTCCTAGATTCGATCACAGCTACCATACTGAAAGAAGATGGAAAAAGGCGCTCCCGGCAACTTCCAGAAGGCCTCTCAATATATGAACACAGTCCTTAAGGTGGTGGAGACTGCAATCCTATTCAGCAACAGCTGACTTCCTTGATCCATATCAGCTGTTTCCCCCGTGTCCAGCACCCCTGCATTGTGCAAATTACATTTCAGATTGTTCACCCTCTTCGGTTAAAACAAACAAACAAACAAACAAACAAACAAACATCAAGTAGCAAGAAACCACCATGCAAAACTAACACGATTCACAAATTAGAACTAAAACAAAACAACATTGAAAACAGCAGCAGATAAAGCTCAAGATCCTGCGTTAAAGTGCTTGGGTTAATAAAAAAATATAATTTCCCCACTGCTGAAAAGTTGCACGGTTAGGTACCAGAGGTGTGGAAATAAGGAGGGTATTCTGCAAAAGGGGCACCATTTGCCTGACCTGAATAGACAGGGGAACCTAAGCCTCACTAGATGATCTGAGGAAGCTTCAATTTGGAGCAGGTAGCCCTTCACATACCCTGGGGTCTTGGCCAAGCAGTGTAGTAGCTGAGTGGTTGAGCATTTTATTGCCATGCAGAACTTCATGGAAGGTCCTATGTTCAATTCCTAGCATCTCCTAACAAAGGCTGGGAAAGACTCCTGCTTGAACCAGATGGACTAATGGAACGACTTCGTATAAGGCAGTTTCTTGTGTTCCTAAGTCATTACAAGGTTAAAGGCACCTGTTTCAACACCGTTGAGATGCGATCCACATAACCTGTGACATTTGGCAGCCTGGCTTCTCCTGAATTTTTAACCAGCTGATGCTCCCAAGTTATCTTCAAGGATAGCCCCATGGGTGAGTCATTACAGCTGTCAATCTTGTCAGCGTGCTCTGATGCGATGAACATTTAGGAATCAAAAGCAGATAAACACTCACAAGCTTCTGAATTCTTACTGCTAAGGACTGTCCACACAGAATCAATCGTTGTTTAATTAATGCATCTAGCTTGCATAAATCAGAGCCACCCAAACAGTTTAAAACAAGTCAACCTGTAAAAAGCAATTGAATACCAGTTAGGTTAAGCCTATAGTCCCTTTGCCTGGCCAGCTGTTTGTAGCAGGTTGGGTGAAAGCAGATAGGGATTTACATTGCCTGCCTGCCTGCCTGCCTATATTCAAATTAAATCTCTGCTATTGAAATGCCAATGTGTTAATGATAAATGACTATGTCACAAACACATGAGAGGAAGCAATGAAAGGGGCACTAACCCTAACAGCCACACATGCCTGCCAATCTTGCTGCAAAAGCTGGTGTACACATCCTCTTCTTTTTCTTTCCAATTGGCATTTATAAAATTCCTTTCATTTCCTATTCACTTTGAATACTACTTTTCAGCTCTAGTTAACTGCCCTTTTTGAAGGCATATATATGCCTGTGAGATATCAATGAATGAATATACGGGGGGCGGCGGGTAAGGCAGGATACTGCACATGTCCAGTTCTGAAAGATGTTTCTTTCTCAGAAATGGGTTTAGACTCTATACTAAATCCAGTCCAGACATAGTTTATATAACTCTGTGACAAAAGTGGGGAAACCTCCGCTGGCCATGCCATAGAAGGCCATGTAGGCAGGCACTTACAATGCACATCTTATGATGCACGTACAGTGGTACCTCAGGTTAAGTACTTAATTCATTCTGGAGGTCCGTTCTTAACCTGAAACTGTTCTTAACCTGAAGCACCACTTTAGCTAATGGGGTCTACTGCTGCTGCTGCTGCGCCGCCGGAGCACGATTTTTGTTCTCATCCTGAAGCAAAGTTCTTAACCTGAAGCACTATTTCTGGGTTAGTGGAGTCTGTAACCTGAAGCGTATGTAACCCGAGGTACCACTGTAAAAGTATTCTAAGAAGAATGAGGCACACACGTCTGTTTTCTAGGGAAGATGTGCATTCTCCAGAATGGGTGCTGGGGCCAGCTTTTTTCCACCATCCTTGATTTTTTCCCCTCATTAAAATATTTGAAGCAGCTTGCAGCATTAAAACAAGCAACTAAAGTGAAATCAAAACCTGCCTTTCTAAGTCAAAGTTGGTGAAAGGCACTTCAAAACCAAGGCCAGACTAGCACCATTGTGGGATGGCAACCCTGCCTCCCCTGGAGGTGAGGGGTTTTCCTGGGCTTAGGTGAACCCTTGTTGGCTTCACCCAGGTCCGGGAAGTGGATTGCAGCTTGCCTGGCCATTTGCCTGCATCTTTCTGTTTGTTCGCTTAAAGAAGGTAGATTTCCAGGGGAGCGCTGAGCAATGGGTTGTTGTTGTAGTTTTCTGAAAAGGGGGCAGTAAGCCAAATAAGTTTGGGTTAGAGCAAGTCAATGCGTCTCCAATACAGTGGTACCTCAGGTTACAGACGCTTCAGGTTACAGACGCTTCAGGTTACAGACGCTTCAGGTTACAGACTCCGCTAACCCAGAAATAGTACCTCAGGTTAAGAAATTTGCTTCAGGATGAGAACAGAAATCGTGCTCCGGTGGTGCGGCGGCAGCGGGAGGCCCCATTAGCTAAAGTGGTACCTCAGGTTAAGAACAGTTTCAGGTTAAGAACGGACCTCCGGAACGAATTAAGTACTTAACCTGAGGTACCACTGTACCTTGCTTCCCTCTCCCAAACAAGAAAGTAGTTCCGACACTGAAGCCGTATTGGAAATTTGTCATCCTGAAAGATTGCCCACACATCCCCTCCTAATTTAGGGCATAACCCCAACCTCTTTATGCTGGGCCAGGGGGTTGGACTGGGTGGAGATGTCTCCTGGCCCAGCCCGGTGGGGGCTGTCTCTGTGAGCTGCCCTGTTTTAATGGCTTGTATAGAGAAGGATTCCCCAGAACTGGGTTGTAAGTGTTGAGCTAAGAAACCCTCACATGACCTTAAACTCCAACCTGATGAGCAGCACTGCACATGCCTCCCGGGTGCTCTCCGGCAAGGCCATTAGCACAGATATAGCTCCACACAGAGCTGTTAGGAGAGCCAATTAAAGGGACCACAGGCACTTGCAGGCCATTCTGACTTGCGCACAAACAACAAAACACAAGGCAATTTTATGTTCCTGTGCCCCCTTTAAAGAAAGGGGAGAGGAAAGGCAAAGTGGGTGATCTCTCTCCCCACCCCATTCACTCCCAACTGCAATCCTAGAAAAACAGTGAGCCAATCAACATTGCTCGGTGCCAGCAGCGTTGTATTTACCTGAGTGGTTTTTACCACCCAGGGAAACAATTAATTAGTCCCAGTTTAAGGCATTAATATCTCTTTCAATTATTTTCTATTACAACAATGGTTTCATTACACGGAAGACTGGAGTGGATTATGGAAGGTTGCCGTTTGGTTTCATTGTCTCCAAAAGCCTCACTTATATATTTATGATTGCCAAACAATTCTATGAATTGCAATAATACAGTTTATCATCAATGTTTTAGTGCACAGAGCAACCTGTGTGGAGCGCACACTGAATGCAACCAGGGTACAATGAGGCGTATTGTCTGCACCGCTGCAGCCCAACCCAGCGGAGCTGCTGGGATCTGCATGATGTCACAAGAAGTGGCAGTGCTGGGCCCCCTCATAGCACTTTGTACAGTGGTGCCCTCCAAGACGAATGCCTCGCAAGACGGAAAACCCGCTAGACGAAAGGGTTTTCCGTTTTCAATGCGCTTCGCAGGACGAATTTCCCTATGGGCTTGCTTCGCAAGACGAAAATGCCTTGCGAGTCTTGAGATTTTTTTTCCGCTCCCCCCCCTTTTTCTAAGCCACTAAGCCTTTAATAGCCTTTTAGCAGCTAATCCGCTAAGACGCTAAGCCTTTAATAGCCTCTAAACCGCTAATAGCGCTAATCCGCTAATCGGGTTGCTTCGCAAGACAAAAAACCGCTAGACGAAGATACTCGCGGAACGGATTAATTTCGTCTTGCGAGGCACCACTGTATTTTTAAGTACTTTGCTACACTTTTTCCCCCTTTTTATAGTGGTACCTCAGGTTAAGTACTTAATTCGTTCTGGAGGTCCGTACTTAACCTGAAACTGTTCTTAACCTGAAGCACCACTTTAGCTAATGGGACCTCCCGCTGCTGCCGCACCGCCGGAGCACGATTTCTGTTCTTATCCTGAAGCAAAGTTCTTAACCTGAAGCACTATTTCTGGGTTAGCCGAGTCTGTAACCTGAAGCGTATGTAACACGAGGTACTACTGTACTTCGGAAGGAATCGAAAGCTCTTCCCTCATAGCTAGTTCAGTGGCACAGAACATGACAGTCAATGTTGCTTGTGTAGACACAGGGATTGTAAACTCCGTCTAGTAGCTGCTAATTTGTTGCTAAAGAGAAATGCATTTGATTTAGGAAGCCGCAAAAGGAATGCAAGCAATTTCAAAGTGGCAGCCTGAGCAATAGCGGTCCGATTACAGTGGTACCTCGCAAGACGAATGCCTCGCAAGACAAAAAACTCGCTAGACGAAAGGGTTTTTTGTTTTTTGAGCTGCTTCGCAAGATGATTTTCCCTATGGGCTTGCTTCGCAAGACGGAAACGTCTTGCAAGTTTGTTTCCTTTTCTTAACCCCGTTAATACAGTCGCGACTTGACTTCGAGGAGCAACTCCTCGCACACGGTGTGGCAGCCTAATTTGAGGTTTTTAAAGACTTTGGTGATTTCTGAAGCTTTTCCAAAACTTTCCCGACACCGTGCTTCGCAAGACGAAAAAAATCGCAAGACGACAAAACTTGCGGAACGAATTAATTTCGTCTTGCGAGGCACCACTGTATAAATTACAATTGCAGGAGGTACAAAAGGATAGTCAGCTCCAAGGCACCAGCAACCCAGTGTTTTTCCTGTAACCACAGGCATGTGATACATGGGTATCTTTTTAACTGAACACGGCTGGCTCTTCAGAAATAGAAAATCAATTGCAACTAGCTACTAGATTGCCATAAAACACATTATCTGATAATTTGCATTTTGCATTGATTAGGTGACATATTTAGATGTAAATATGTTTGGCTGAAAAGAAATGGTAATTAGGGGTGATTTCTGCCCACTTTTGTGCAAGGACAACAAGTTGGCTCCTCTATCTTCTGCCTAATAAAACTGGATTATGCTGTTAGCATGGGGGGTGTCAAAGTAACAGAGGCTCCTCTGCCCCTCTTATGTGCACGTACGTGGACCACAACTTCCATCATCCCTATTGGCCCTGTGGTCCTCAGGATGTAGTCAGAATCCAATTCCCACCATTCCTATTGGCTTTAGGCAGGGCATTTTTTCCCAGCCAGAACCGAAAACTCAGTTCTGGCATCTCTCAGGTGGGCGCCATTGTCATTATAAGAGAACACCTCTCAGGGAGGAAAGTGCTGTTGCCTGGTAATGTCTGCACATCACACTGCTGTTCAAACGAAGGCCTTGTTCAGGAGGAACTCACTGGAACTCAGTTCTGCCACCTCTCAGGTGGACGCTATTGCCATTGTAAGAGAACAAGGGAGGCATTCATGGTGAGTTCTGGCACCTGTTTTCCTAGAAAAATATCACTGGCCTTAGGGCTGATGGGAATTGGAGTCTGACCACATCTGGTGGACCACAAGTTCCCTACCCCTCCTGTATTGCCTCCGCAAC